GATATTAAAAATCATAAAATAATATAAATTATTAAATTATATTTATTAAATAAATATTAAAAATAAATTATTTTATATTATAATTTTTTTATTAAAATAAATTTTATTTTACAAAAAATAAACCTTTATTTTCCGACTCAAACTAATTTAATCAATTGGATGTAAAATAGTTTTTTAGGCCAACCGAATTAATTGTGGATTGGTTCATGATCGAATCAGTCTGACCAACCAATTCGATTTAATTTTTGCAACTATATTATTAAATCATTGATAATATAATAATAATTAATTGATAATTATATATTAATAATTACTTTATAATTAAGAAACTCGATTTTTTATTAGTATGTTAGTTTTTAGAAAGTTAACTCAATAAAAATTATTAACTATTATTTAATTATTAATAAATTTTCTCTTTCTCTAGGAGTGTTCTTCTTTTCTAAGTCATTGTAAGTTTTTTAAAAAACAATTTAATCAAAGATTATGGAGTGAAAACCAATAATATATGAATTTATTATATATATATATTATCTCTTTCATTAAACAAAAATCAGTATTCTCAACCTTTTATATATTTTATATATAGAGTTCATGATTTATTAAATAATTTAATAATGATTTTGAGAATAATTTGATAATCTATTATCTAATTATCATATTTATATCAAAAGGGAAAAATCACAAATTTAATATAATAATAATGTACAATTAAAAGTACTTTTAATGTTTTTGGCAATTTATTATTAATAATTAATTTTATATTATATATAATTAGGAATAATATATTAATAATTGATGTGTAACTAAAAAACTTAATTTGATTAATATGTAAGTTATTGAAAATTTAACTCAATAAAAATTATTATATATTAGCAATGAAAAAGACACTTCATGTGTCTTGTAAAAAAAGTTTTTAATATATTTTTTTTAAAATAAGTTAGTAGTTACTATTTTAAAAAAGTAGTTATAATTTTTTATATGCATTTTCCCCCTATTTTATCCTTAAATATATTGATAAAAAAAATAAGAATATCAATATAAGAGTATAATTGTCTTTGAAAAGTGGACCAAAAAGATATGTCTCCTTTATATATTTTTATAGATGATGCTTATTTTGTAAAATAAAAATTAACTCAATTTGGTATTTTTAACTACATGGTTGAGTATTGAATTACTAAATAATTCATATTGATTCTGATACAAATAGGATCTACTAGTTAATTATCATATGCAAATTAAAAATAATAATATGAAAATTTTGATGTTTAAATTAAAGGTGGACTTGGAGATATTTTAATTGTATATTATTTTATTTATGACACAATTATATGATTTCAAAGAATATTTTATAACAAAGATGCATGATATCACTCGTACAAATCGTAAAGAGAGTCATATAAGTAAACATAAGGAGTCTAATATTAATATAGCAAAACTAACAACAATAGAAGAATAAAAATTGAATATTTTGCTTAGGTGTATCCCAAATTTGATGACTTCAACATTTCATATATATTGTTTTGGTTTCTGTTCTTATTTACATGTAAAACAAATATTTTTAATTGAACATCATTCTCTAATAGTCCTTGAACGATGTAAAATCCTACAAAATTCAAATTATTAGTAATACAGATTCACAAAACCTAAGAAAAAAATGTGGAGAACAAAAAAAATGTAACATAAAAGTATATTTATTTTTTTTTCAAAATTAAAAAAACTTCTATAAAGCAAAATAAGATAGGATTGTCAATATTATCTTCAATTTTTAGTGAGAATTGCAACATAAGAAGAAAATTAAAATTTAAAATATTCATAATAGAAAAGAACAACAAAAAGTTTTTAGATTATGAATCAGATAAAAAGTAACTTACAGATAATAAAATAAGATAAAGAATCAAGAATATCACCTTCTATTTTTTATGAAAATTAAATTGTTAGTTCATCACCATTTTTCAGTAGTTTCTAAAGAATATAAAATACTACAAACCTCAAATTATTTAAAAGCACAACACAACCCTAAAAAAAGGTAAGCTCAAAATGAAGAGAAATACAACAATTTTTTTATTTACAAAAGGCCTTTAAAATATGGGATGGAAACAAAACCTTATGAAGAGTAAAATATGACTCAGGTCACTTTTTATACCTTAAATTGTGAATATCACCTTCAAATTCTAATGAGAATTGCAACATAAGATAAAAATTAAAATTTAGAACATTTAAATTAGAGAAAATTAACATGAGAAAAAGAAAAAATACAAAGAGCAAAATAAGAAAAAAGAATTGTGAATATTACCTTAAATTTCTATAGAAAAAATTGTAATGTCAAATGAGAATTAAAATTTTTAGTCAGAAAAAAGAGAGAAGAGAATTTAAGTTTAAATTGACAATAAAAAAGAATGAATTGTGTAGAGGGGAGAAATATAATAGAATGTAGAATTCTTTATGCACATTGATAATGAGTGAAAATGTACTTATACCGTATGGTGGCTGACTAGGCCGAACACCCGAGTTTCCGACCCGACCGACCCAAATAAATCCCCCGAGCACACTGACTACTCACTATCCGAACGGAACGTGTCGGTGTGCTCGGCCAAGTCACGGATTCATGTCAGGATAATTACGGAGAGGTTAATTTACGTAATGCACCGGATTAGCCCCCTAATTTCCCGGGCCCAGTCCCTAATCGCGGCCCAATAAGAATCACTATAAATAGGACCCCTGCGAGGTACGTAACTAACTTTCAACTACCGCATTTATTACGCCGAACACTTACTTGAGCGTTGGAGTGTCTTTACAGGCACCCCCCTCACTTCGGACTACTCGGAGAAGGACGAGAAGACCTAGACCCAAGACCAGACCCGCTACAACAAGAATAATTGAAGTGTGTATCCTAACACAGCAACAGTATTGATTAAAACTTTTAGAAGAGAAAAAAATTCAATAGTGTAGTATCTCTTATTGATTGAAGGCATAACTATCAAATACTATATTAATTGTGGTCATAACAACTAAAAGTTACATAAGAAAATGTGAAGGAAGGAATGTGAAAGAATTGACACTTGACACAAATAAATATGTTAATGCGGTGAAGATTCATTTTATTATGACATATCAATACAGCTTCTAATTCAACTTTTATATTATAAATAAATAAATAGACAAATAGTTCAAGCTTGATTATCTGATGTTATCAACTTCAACCATTTTGGTTTTTGGATAAATGACTTGATTGCTTGTTCAATCGGACTTATGTCGTTAAGGCTTGATCATAAAATAAACTTCAAAACAAAACAACCTACAAAAAGGCCATGTACCACTTTCATAAGCTAAACAATTTCAATTCTCAACTCAGTAGTGCATGTTTGGTTTCAGAATCGTCCAAAATCTCGTTAGAATACTAGCTAACGTAATTAAGTAATGTTCACATGTTTGGTCTCGTGTTGTAGATAGCTTTTGGATTCAGTGTTGAAGCAACTTTATACAAAGTTTAACAACCAACTTGCTTTTAGAATAAAAACTCTAGTACATAGATGACTTCATTTCAAAATCAATTCTAATAAGAATTTGCAAACATCCACCCAAAGAAACACACAAACTTAAACAAGTTCCTATTATTGCTGCTGCGTGTATGTGGATGCTGATCTCAGCACATTTTATGTTGATATATCAATCAATGATAGTTAGAATTGTGTGTGTATCTGTAATTTGGCAGTTCATGAGGTCCAATCTCGTGGATGTGGAGCATGAGTGGAAGGCAAATCTGAAACAGGAGTATCCAAAACTGAGGGAGCTGGAAGTGTCAGGATACAGAAGAGACCCCAGTCAAATTGAGTTGCTGATCAGCATATTTGCTAAGGCTCCTAATCTAAACAGGATTCTTGTGGATCCCTTGTCTTCATACTATGCGGATAGGTCACCTGATGTCAAGGCCAGGGTTAGAAATACTCGTCGTGACTCTACCTTATGGCTTGTTGATGCTCTCAAACCACATGTGCCTCCTTCAGTTGAGTTGATTGTCCTTTAGTGGCAACAGCAGTGATCAATGGATTGGAGGCTTCTTTTGAGATTTTATGATGCAATGCCAGTTTCTAAAGTTTCCTGCAGACTTTTTAGTTGCTTGCTTTGGTCAAAACTTTTTGTGTGAGCAAGAGTGGTACTTTTATGCTTTTGAACTTTGAAGCTTCTTTTGTCCTTTAGCTGGGGCTCTTAAAAGAGACCCTTGTGACTCAAGTTTAGTTTGATTGAACAATTTGCCTCCATTTCATTCATATTTTTTCTATACTTTAAGATATCTGCAGGTACTGATATTTCCTCATTTCCTGCTTTTGTGGGCATGGTTGGAACTACAATTAGTTTTGGGAACATGCATCTTATACATGTGTTATATGGTTCACAATTTTTTTTTTATTGAAACCCCCTCTTTACTATTCTGCCACAATGTTGTATCAAATAATAAGTCATATACATAAGTTCAACGATGAATGATACCTAGTTTTCAACAAACAAAATGGCTGTTTTTACTTTAAACTGAAGAAATGGAAATTTTATCAGATGGAAAAATATTGGTTGACTTTAATGATACTCATGTGACTTTTTTGGGGGGGAATCTCCAAGTGGAAAAGAAACAAACAGCAAAAGGTATGGTCGGTCGGTGCACAGTGGCCGTGGTCCTACCCCCATTATCAAGCAAAAAGGATTATGCTTCTAACATGCTAATATGAACTTTCTTCACGTTAGATGTTAGCCAATTTGAAGTCTCACGTCTCAACCGTTACAATCTTCGGTAAGCGTTGGCGTTTTCCATGAAACTATGTAAAGTTCTACAATTTATTGTCACCGTTGTATCGGTGTAAAAGCAAAGGGAAATGTGACAGAATTCCAAGCCGTTTTAGAGACATAAAACAGCAGGCTAAAAAACCATGTAAATACAACAATTTATCATTTAAAATAGTTAAATAAAACTTGTACCAATGATTTATTTTCTTTCGCATTTTTTTTCTTCATTTCAAGTCCTAGAAAATAGGTAAGATTGTTGACCAATCCCCTTTCTGTTAATTGGTAGAAATGTCATCCTAGCTTCCAGGGAATATATGCACCGACATGTAGTACAAAAGGATTCCAAATCACTTATCTGAAACAGACACCAATGAATTCCCAACATGGCTAACATAATATGCTAAGCTCATGAGGAGAGGGGAATATTCTTTTTACAGTATGGCCCAAGTATCATCCAGTGACTAGAAATTAAGTATGTATGTGTGAACTGTAAACTACTATTATTACTCAATAAATAGGGTGGCCATTGCACTGAGCCTTCTTTCTTGATTTTTAAACTAGTTAGTCAATCAGGGTAATGAAAGATGGTCCCAGTCTCTCAGTTAAACTAGCTTATTAATGAAAAGAAACATTTCTGGATCAAGTTGTATAACTAAACAAATACAGGAAGATGAAAACAGTATCTCAATCCAGGAAGTACAGCTGGAAGTGTGGACAATGTGTTAAAAGACATCATAGAACTGAGGGGACCTCATTTTCTTTTGGCAGCTATCTATTATTATTGGCCTAAATTGAGAAGCAATCTTCATCGTTCAACTTAGTGCATTAGTGACTTACAGTCCACAGCATACCCCATAGAAATTAGTTTTGAAACTCTAAACTAAAGTAACCCACCCTCTTCCCCTCGAACACTATTTCCACTAGGCATACACAGAGGACATAAATTTTGACAGATATACCAATATTGCATACACTAATGCAAAGAATAAGCATTGGAGTATTAAAAAAATAAAACTCTATGATTTATTGGTTTACATAGTTGGATAAGAAAAAGATAACAGATCATATCTGTGTAAGCCTAGTACGTAATCTCAAAAGCAAATAAAAATTATGATCATGAAAGTGAGAAACACATCCAAATAAGATGTCAAAAGAAGAAACCCAAATCTCATCAAGGGAAAGCTATCCCAACGACAATTAACTCAGTAAATGAGATGAATCAACATGGAAGCACCCCTCAAAGCTAAGTCAGATTGTAGATACCAGCAAATCTTCTGCTGAGTCAATCTAAAAGCATCTCACCAGACCATCCCATAACGGCACAATTGTACACAAACACCCCAACATGCTCCTTCACACCAAGTACTTGCCAATCTATGGTTCCATTTCTGACCCCTGTCCTAGGACTCCATGAATTCAGTACAATAGCTTCACCTTCTGGACCCCTTTGTCCACCCACAACCAGAAGTTTATCTCCACAAGCCTTGAAAGCCAGGCCCCATCCATTAGAAGAATCGGCCCGTACCGGAAGCCTTCCCAATTCATTCCAAGTGTTATTTTCCTTGTTATATTTCTTCACCATGTTGGTAAGATGCTCTACTGCATACAACTGATTATCCACAACTGCCACAAGTGGAGGTGCCTGAGCAGCCCCATTAACATATGGATACATACCCTCTATTTTCCGCCAATTTCTTGTCTTAAGATCATACTCCTCCCCACAAGTTAATGAAACAATAGGACTTGCCATGCCACCAATTACATAAAATTTTCCATCCATAAAAAAACCAGAGCACAATCTACGTGGCGTATGCATGTCTGGCAACAGTTCCCACGTACCCGAAGAAGAGTCATACAACTCCGCGGATTCAAGAACATTGCCGTATTTATCACTTCCACCAGCAACAATGGCAATCGAACCAAGACTGCCAGATCCAAACAAGCAGCGAGGTCGGTTCATCTCCTGACACTTCACCCAACCACGGCAAATCAAGCTGTACTTCCAAATGGCAAATTCCATCAATTCCCGGCCAAAAACCAACAATTCACTCCCCACAGCCAATGACTCCTTGTCTGCATGATTAAAACACTCATCACACGGTATCTTAGGTAATGTTATCCATCTATTCCTCTTGGGGTCATATGCCTCCCATCCTCTTGGATCACAAACCAAATAAACCAAATGCTCTAGCTCCACAATCCCCAATTTCTTCCTCAACCCGGATAGATACCCACTCCTAATCAGCAAGTTGTACCTTTTATTTATACATGCTAGTGAAGCATAATCAGATCTACTAACCCAAGCAAGACAATTCAGCGCAACATCATCAAAAAGACCAGGGAGAAGCGAATCATTTGGTCCAATTCTAGGAAAACCATCATTCACTCCTTCCCTTATATCCAATTCCACAAAGCTATTACTCACTTTCTCTTCATCCTCCTGCAAGGAACAATCCAAACGTATTTTCTTTGTCATGTCAACAAACCTTCAGCGAACCCCAACAAAATTCTTCACACAGCCCACACCCACAAAGAACATCCGCCCAACAGATGCATGCCACCAATCTCTATCCCTGTATTCTCTCCATCAAATCTATGAACTTCAATTAAAATCTGCAATCACCTCACACTAAACAATCATCCCTTCACGGGACTAACACCCATTTGGAACATCAACTGAAATATCATCACAACCTCATATGAAAAAAGAGAGAAAACAAGAAGCAGAGTTGCGGCACCAGACAAAGATTTGAAATTCCGGCAATACCAGAAAGTCAGGAACCTTGGTTATCTGATTTCCGGGTTCAGAGACGGAATCATCTGCAAAATGATAAGGAGAAATGACAAAAAAATGAAAAACAGAAGAAACGTGCATGCAAGGGCAAAAGAGAAACCCCAGAAAGAAAAATCAGATTTTGAGATAAAGGGTATGGTCTGATCCAATTGAAGGAGGATTCGGATCCAAATGAAAAAGGATGAGAGAGAAAAATAAAGAGGGTGTACCTGTACCTGTACCTGGAGGTGCGGAGAGAAACGGATCTCGGGCGCCGTCAGAAGACGTGTTAGCCGGAAACCGGCGACGGGAAGAAAGGGTGAATGCGGTGTGTTAGATAAGTTACAAGTTGGGGACACGGAAAGAGCGTGCTACTAAGTACTAACACAAACACTAACCATAAAATATGCGACCCTGTCTTACCAATCAAATCTCTTCAATTCACAAATACAATTGCACTCACTCTTTTAACTATTTTCTCTCTTCTCTTCTCTTCCCCATCTTGCATTCTCTCTTAGCTTAATTTTCATTTAATCATGGATTCAAAATTAATTCAATTTTCCTTTAGTATTATGTAATTTTATATTTTTTTAAATAACTTGCTGTAAATTAATTATTGTATGAGCATATATATATATATATATATATATATATTACATTACTAATTCAATCTTATTTTAAATTTAATTTAATTAAAATTCATAAAGTAATATTTTTATTGATTAAATAATCAATCTAATTTGAAAATCGATAATTTTTTTATTACAAATACAAGAATCTTCTATGCAAAAAGTAATCTTTCTCTATCCATGTAAAACTATTTGGATATCAAAGTTTTTTTTTCTTGAATTGTATATTAAATACTTGAACTCAAAATTAATCATTAATTACAATATCTTTGTGTTTGGTGATTTTTAAAAATAGGTTTAACATATATTTTGAGTGTTTTTTTTTAATTCAAAGTTTGGTCTTTATAAATATACTTAAATAGTTATTAATTATTAAATCAGTTATTATAAACACAAATGTTACCGATTTAGTTTCAAGATAAATAATAATTTAATCCTTATATATTTAGCACATTTTGATCCATATATTTAAAACATTATTAAATCAAACTCTGCAATTGTTAATTTCTTATAATCCCTATTGTCTTGACACGTTTGGACACTAACTCTATCAATGTTAGTGAACTATTAATTCGTTATGTAGATGTTGCAAATAATAATAATAATAATAATAATAATAATAATAATAATAATAATAATAAGTTTCATCCTCAGCATTTGACCTTTCTCCCTCTCCAACCCTAAATAACTTTTATTGACTTCATTTTCATGTAGGATTGTGCATAAAAACCAATATAAACTAAACCAAAAACAAACAAAACAGAATATATATTATAAAAACATAACAAAAAAATATATTATAAAAACATTTAAAGAGGTTGTAATTTGTAAAACCAACATTAATTTGGATATGGTGAGACATTTCTTTCAAGCAGTTTGCAACATTGCATTTCAGGTACCACCAATCTAAAACTCCTTCA